ACCTGTCCCTGTGACCTTAAGGATGAATCGTGAGTGTAATGCAGCATCACAGATCAAACAAGTTCAGATGGGGTCACTGGAGTAGAGAGGGTTCCCACTGCTTTCTGATGGGCGTCCTGGTCAGGAGAGGAGAGGCTCCCAGAGGGAGGCGCAAGCAGAAACTGACAGATGCTGCCGGGGACTGCCTGAAACATCAGAATCCAGGGAGCGGCTTCTCGAGCCTTCCAGGGATGGCCTGGTTGTCTTAGGCCACACTGTGGTGGTGGGTCCAGCAGCTCCAGGAATGGATACACTGGACGCCCTCTGCTCCTAAACTGGGGTTCCTGCCACCCCAGCTGCAGCCTCGGCCTCCAGGGGCCCATGTCTGCTCTGCCCAGAAGGAAGTGGGGGTGGAGAGATGGCCACCGGCTCCAGGGGTTACTCCCGGGGGGCTTTGGGCTTTTTTCTTGAGAGGTTTTTCGGGGGGGTTTAAGCAGAGACGTGACCGATTGGCACCTTTAACGTTTGTTTTAATTTGTGGTGCGTGCTTGAGAGAACTTCAAAAAGTACGCGGAAAGTGGAATTGGAAAATCCTGGAATGTTCCGGGGCACTTTCTGAAGCCCTGTCTGCCCGGCAGGGACCAAGGCATTTCCTGTCTCACCTTCATCACAGGTCCAGTTCACCGACACCAACTAATGCTCATCCTGCCACCCACTCAGCTGCCCCCACCCTTCCCTGCTCCTGAATGCCTTCATCTCTGGTTTGCATACTTCAGACTGACCCTGGGGGCCTCGCTGGCACCGGGCAGCAAGAGGCACTTGGGAGGCAGGTGGGAAGGCCTGCCTGGCTCCTCCTTCCTCTGACCTGGACCATAGCCCAGGCTTCTTGCTGGCCAGGCTAGCCTGTGATGGTGCCTGAAAGACCTCTGCCCCCCACCCCTCCGGGCAGTGAGCGCATCTGGCTGGTGAGCCTGGCCTCAGCGGCTCCCTCCTCCGCTCCCAGAACTCAATGTAATCACACGAGCACAGAGTGTCAGGGCAGCCCTGCAATTTGCCTGCAGCATTGATTCCTCTTGCATAAGAAGCTGTTCTGATTGGAGGGGCCGGGGAGCTGGGCCCACCTTCTCTGCCCGCAGCTGGGCTGCTGGGCCAGGCGGGGGAGGTGACCAAATGCTCAGCCCACTGAGCTCACCCTTCCATGGAGAGGCTGCCGTGGGGCTTCAGAGAGAGCTATTTCATGGACCTCAAAGTGGGTGAGGCAGATACAATTGCCCTCACTTTTACAGATGAGCCCCAGGGAAGGGGAGTCACCTGGCCCAGGTCACACAGGATGTCAAGACTGGGAGACCTCCTGGGGATAGCAGGGACCTAGGAAGGCAGCTCGAGCCCCAGTAAGACCAAAGGCAGCCCGAGGCAAAGAGGACAGGGGGATGCTGGCAGCCGGGACACTTCCACTTCAACAGGGAGCCCAAGGTCACTGGATCCTCTGGGGTCATCTGGTCCACGCCCCTCTATCATCACGGACAGGTGGAGCGCAGCTCGGCCACCTCCTCAGGTCCCCTCCATCCTCCCTGCTGCCAAGTCAGATGCATTCACCCTCTTCCGGAGGGGGAGTATCTGTGTGTGGCCAGGGTCACGCACGCACTTCCTCTGGCATGTCCATACGTGTATGGACACATGCATGCTTGCGCACACGTGCGCACAGACCAACAGACACAGAGGCGCACAGTCAGGCACATGAATGTTTCCGGAACCTCTTCTTCCCACCGCATGGCTACCCCTGTCCTGGCTGTCATCACCAGGGACCTGGTCACAGCAGGAGCCCCCCCTGCCCACTGCTCCACTCAGGCATGGCTGAGGGTGTGGCTGGGAGGGCCAGGCCCCTGACTCTGCAGGCCTGCCTGGAGCTGTTCAAACTGCCCGTGGGCAAAGGGGGCTCTCAGAGTCAGACCCTAGCCCTGGGAGGCTCCCCCATTCCCAACTTACCCTCTGGCTGGAAGGCTCTGGACACCCGAAACGGGGAACACATGGTGTCCAGAATTGAGGCACGCTGGGGGAAGAATGGGTCCTTCTGCCAGACTGGTGGCTTAAGGCCGGCTGGACCCTGAGTCCTGACGCAATGGAAAAAGAAACTACAGCTCGGGCCAGGCTGGGCCCCCTCCCCTCCGGCCCCAGCGGGCAGGCGGGCAAGGTGTCATTAAAGGAGGGCTGGGCCTGCCACGCGCATCTGGGCATGATGGAAAGGCTCCCTGGCATAGCACCGCCCCACAGGTAATTTGAGGTTTTAGCCTGGAGGGGAGGGGGCACTGGGAGCCCGGGGCCCCGCCTCGAAGGATGCTACTGACTCCTGGCACACATGGGCACCAGCCTTGTAGGGTTGACCAGGCCCCTAAGGAAGGAGCTAGAAGGTGGGGATACACAACCAGCAGTCCCTTTTATAGATGGGTCTACTGAGGCTCAGAGGGCAGGGCGTGGGTGGTGTTCTCATTCATTCACTTAACACACATTCCACCAGCTCCCCTAAGCGTCGGGCCCTTGGGCTACAGCAAAGAACCAGACACACAGCACCCAGAGTCCCCCAGACACCCTCACCTTCCCATCACCTCCTCTGATCCAGCCACAGGGGTCTCCTCTGCGCCACGGGCTCCCTGACCTCCAGCTCCAGCGCTCTCACTCCGCTCAGACACACAGGGGTGGGGGGCTTTTCTTCATAGACCACAGGACGGCAATGCAGTTAACTTCGCACACATGTCCATTAGTCTGTTTGTCCCCCTAGAACCTAAGCTCCAAGGGGAGGGGGGTGCTGACCTCAGGGTCGGATGGATGAGGGGGAAGGATCTCAGGCCGGCCTCCCCCCTCACCGGAGCTCCTGAAACCACTCTGAAAAGCGGGCCCCTCACTCCCATGCCGAGGGGCCTCACCCCCCCAGGCGGTGCTGGGGCTCAGCACCAGGGCCTCCTCACTGGGTCTTCCCACCCAGTCCCAGCCAGGCCGTGCACCCCGTCCCAACACAGGGTGCTCCGCAGAGAGGAGA